GGATTTTGGGCCAAATTTATCAATTTCTTTGAAAATTCGAACAAAATTTATCAATTATGTTCGAATCAAGCTTATAGGGAAATAAATTAATTTAGGTACTAAATCTAAAGTTCTATTAAGTTTATGTACCAAATTGTAATTTGCATATGGGGTGGGTACAAATTCAAATCCATGGATTAAAAATCCAACCCAATCTAACCCAAATAAAATTGTATGAGTTTAAAGTATAAATACATCAAACTCTATCCATTTAACTTGTATTTGAATTTCACACCCAATAAAATTAAGTTGGATAAGAAAATATTAATGAGTTTGGACAAAATTGTACTCCTAATTGAGCTAAAAAAGAACTTGGAATCCCATTAGAGGAGAGTTTCCCAAGTGAAAATTGCATGGCTAATTAAGGCGACGAACAAATGAGAGTTTTGAAGATGCAAATCGATTACAAAGCCATCATGTCTCCTCAACAAACTTTTGATATGAACTTATTGTACCAGAACAAGACCTTAACTTAGTTGTTTCTGTACATATATATGGTGATTGGTGATGAGCTTTTGCATATGGTATTTAAGAGCCTGAAAATTGAGTTGGACGGTGAGAAATTATATGAAATGCGCTGCGGGTAAAAGTTGTTAGAACTCCTTCCCAATTCAAGTTTTGGTTCCTTCATTTTCATACATGCTGTTGGGTGGAGTAGTTGGCATTATGACCCAGTGTTATTGTGAGATATATAATTAAGTAACCGCCGATTTTGTTCACTCATTTCATCTCGTCATTTACTCTGGGTGGGGCTTGTTTTGCTTCGTCTAGGAAGTCGGTATCGGTTAGCGCAGTGCTAACAATCAAGGACTAAAAAGCCGTATCGTATCAACAATTCGACTAAAATATCTTCTATTAAGAATTAACTAAACTAGTAAGTAGTATTTAGCGAAATGAAATTATTGAATCACGGTTAAACCACGATTTCAGCATAAGATAAGCTATTATTGATTTTTTCTGTACAATTTATGTTACGGTTTTACAATCCTTGCTAAAAGTAAGAGTGTTAGCACCATGTTAATAATGAGTTTTGGTAATTGTTTTTATCGTTATAGTTTTGGTTTTCGTTTTGTTATAGCAGAGGACTATAACTCCATATGCAATCATAGTTGTAGTAATTATTTTTACAATTACAGTTTTTTTTTTTACATTTATAGTACTATAGTTCTGACACTGCTACTCATAATTATTAATATGTTGCTAACCTTATAAAATTATCACAATTGTACTAGATCTGCTCTTGTTTATCAATAACAATTCATCTAAAACCATTTTTTATGAATAGGGTAATCTGTAACTTTCAATAAATATATAGACTTGGATTTATATCAAATCAGATAAAAAGGGATGGCTTTTTGGGAGAATATAGGATTGCAACATCTTCATATTTATTAGAGATATAGGCATTATATAGGGAGCAGATCGGGTGAGTAACTGATGGATGAGTAACCCATTAGTAACTCCCCTCTCCTCTCTCCACGTGTCAGTTACTTTTTTATTTAAATTAAATGCTAAAGGGCAGTAAGGTAAATTGCACTTATCCCCTATTCATTGTTGACGCTAACTTTTGACCGACCACATCAGGCCCTCCTTCTCTCTCCTCGAAAAACCTTTAATTTTTCTTCCCTTAATATTTAACGGACGATTTCTCACTCGTTTTAAGTCAAAATTTAATTTTTTTTCACAGTTAGATCAGATTAATTATGCTCTTCAAAATGATATCCACTTTGATATTTTTTTGACACAATTTTTTTTTCCAGTTATTACCAGTCTATACCATATGGTATCGACTATACCATATGGTATTGACTGGTATTAAATAAGAGCATACCATATGGTATGAATTTGCCACATCAATATATATTTCGTTACCACCCAATACCATATGGTATAGTGTGGTAATATCAATATATATTTCGTTACCACCCAATACCATATGGTATAGTGTGGTAATATCAATATATATTTCGTTACCACCCAATACCATATGGTATAGTGTGGTAATATCAATATATATTTCGTTACCACCCAATACCATATGGTATAGTATGGTATATCAATATATATTTCGTTACCACCCAATACCATATGATATAGTGTGGTAATATCAATATATATTTCGTTACCACCTAATACCATATGGTAGAGTAGTGTGGTATATCAATATATATTGCCTAAAAGAGAAAAAACAGAATGAGGGAGAGAAAAAAAACTCGTCTTCTATCTCCTCTTATTTCCTCCTCTGCAATCAAGAACACCAAAATGCCAAAAAATGAGAAAAATCCGAATTGAGGCCAACTATTTGATGAAGAGAAGAAATGCAATGAAAGAGGGAGGCTGCAATTTTTCTTCGTTGATTGCTAAAAAAAAGAAGAATAAGAGAAGGGAGCAAATCTAGATCAGGAGAAGAAGATTGGGAGAGAGAAAGAGAAAGAAGAGTTGCAGAGAAAAGACTATTTCTTTCTCCTTCATTGAAAAGTCAACTATTAAATGTTAGATAAAAAAAAATTCAAAAATGGACAAAAATACCCCTCCCCTTCCCCGTGTCCGGCCAATCGCACGATGAGCTGGGCTCCTAGATCTGTGGCCCGGATTTATTACTGACAAGTCAGTAACCACTGATTACTAACTGTATCTTGGACCCATTATATATATAGAGTCCTGAAAGCAACAAAGCAGGTTTAATGTAATGCGATATTTTCATTCAATATCTCTCTATATATCACTTTCAATTCCATGAAGATTTATATGGTCATTTCATCATCTCGACTTCTCATTGTTTTTGTCTACGTAGCTTTCAGCCATACACTGATCACCATCAAAGTCCACTGTTTGTCTCAATTTCTTCGATTTTGGGGGCTAATTACTCGCATGTTGTCGGGCTGATAACGAGGTGTAGTCTTCTTGATTTGAATTCCAGTTTGAACACTAGCTAGCTAGTACACTACTTATATAGTAAAAACGTTTGGTTTCAGTTTGATCAAAACAACGTTCTTCTAAATAGAAGCTCAATCAAATGAATCTAGAAATAGTTGACAATTGCAGAATGGATGCTTCATATTTCGGTCATGTTTTTCTTATTCTATATTTCACATGTGGCGCAATTAGTACTATTCCTGGTTTATGTTCAACTCTTATTCCTGTGCCGCTGATCACGTGTCTATACCTCATGCACATACTCCTAACATTAAATATTAAGTAATAATATATAATTTCATAATTTCAAAATCCCATTTATCATTTTTTAAAGTTAATTTTCACATTAGCACAAATTTATGGATCGAAACTGGCTCATTGATGCAGGAGCTTCGACTTTAGCCAAACCATTTACAATCTATAGGGTTGGCCAATGAATTCTGGAATCCGTGTTCCAAAAAAAGATAAATATGTTGCCATTAAATTATTAAAAGAATAAAATGATAGAATTAATTAAGAAATAAAAACTCAATACAAAATGAATTATTGTGAGATTGAACAAATAAGAGAATTCAAATAGTAACACAATTGAAAATTAGTCTATTTATACTGGACCTACCTGAATAGGTTATGAGAGCTTATTTGAGTAAAAGAGAAGAAGAAACAAAGAGTGAAGAGGAAGAACATTAGATGAGTAGAAGTGTAGAACTGTAGAAGTGATAATTTGGATTTTAGATATTAAGTTACAACATATAGTACTAAAAATTATATATAATATGGGGTGAGATAGCACGACTATCCCTAAAGGGTTGGAAAGACATTAGCCCCTTTACTAATAATCATGGTTCAAATCTCACGTTTAAATTTTGTTAACCTCTCGTTCAAATTTTTGACTTCGCCATTGAACTTGAGTGCGTATTATTTAGCCTATGCCCTTAGTGCAATTAATAGAGTCCAGACTTGCCCATTGTAGGGAAATTCATCGACGGGATTGGAAAGCCTCTGCATAAAAATACGGACACAACCTCGTTCGTGTTGTCTGGGCGGGCGGCCACTCTAGAGCTTATCATGAAATTGTTTCACAGCTTTTGTATTGTGGTCATTTAATTTAGAAAATGATACAACCTGAAGGAAGCTGGACGATGAAACAAATGTAGGGTAACCCTAAAAATAGGGGCGATTGGGCCATTTTGGTCAATAAAGGTCGTTGAGACAGAGGGGAGAGTGGGGGTATCATTTTCCTTGTTCACTATTTTTTGGTGGACATAACTGGCCGCAAGAAGTTGTTGCCTTTAATTGATTTCATTTCGTGTTGGGGATGAAATTACAGTAATTGTCCCTTTCTCAAACCCACAAATCTAGCAAAGCTTTACATTTAGGTTTTATATAGTAAGATGATTATATGACAAATGCATTACCTGAGTGTCTGTTTCAACCACATTTTCGTCCAAACATGCATGTTTTTCAACAATTATCTGAAGTAGGCGAGAAAATCTCTATAAATATCTTGTGTATTTATCGTGACGCGTTATATCCAAAAGCAATTGTAGAGTCCATCAACTTGTAAATATAGATAATTTTACATATAAATTTTGTGACATAATTGAAAATAGACTAATTGGTAAAGTTTTAATCCCCTCCCCAATCACAATTATTCGAATTCCTCAAACCTAACATTTTAGCTCCTATTCAAATTTCTAACTTCGACCACTCCATGCCAGTTACTTACCAGCAATCGTTCAAACATGAAAAGTCGGGGCCATAACTATGGCCATGTTGAAGAGAAGACAGCACGATCCCTCAAAATGTCATTGTCGTCCCTCCACCCACATGACAACAAACTATAATATAACCCTTTGTCCCTTTCCCTACCCTTTCCGAGCTAACTTTTTGCTCTCTCCTTCATCCAATTTAATGGCGGGCTTCCCTTCCAACGAGCCATAGCTTGTTACTGCTCTACCTAGCTAAATCACGGGCAAATACCCACTTTCTCCGCCACTATATAACCCTATCAAGTTCACCAAGCTCAGCATAACACTAATTCTACCACTAGAACTATCTACCTCTTCCTTCTCTCTCTCTCTCTCTCTCTCCTCTTCTCCGCAATGGCAATGGCAATGTCAACGGTTTCCGGCCTGGTCGTGGCGGCGATGGCCGTTTTGGGGTGCGGTTTGATGGCAGCCCAGGTGGCGGACGCTAGGGCGTTTTTCGTGTTCGGCGATTCGCTGGTCGACAATGGCAACAACAATTACTTGGCCACCACGGCTCGCGCCGACTCGCCTCCGTACGGGATCGATTCCCCCTCCGGCCGCCCCTCCGGCCGCTTCTCCAACGGCCGCAACATCCCTGACTTCATCAGTACGTCATATAAATAAACATGCATGAAAAAAAAAATGATCTCACCTTTTTTCCCCCCTTCCCTTAATTAGTGACATGAATTAATTGTGTTTATTATTATCACGTGGGCACGTACACTTAATTAGGTGAATCACTAGGGTCGGAGCCCACATTGCCGTACCTGAGCCCAGAGCTCACCGGCGAAAAGCTCCTCGTCGGTGCCAACTTCGCCTCCGCCGGCATCGGGATCTTGAACGACACTGGAGTCCAATTCGTAAGTTGCCGCGTAATTTTTAGTATCTTTATTGACTCCGTTACTGACAATCTGTGACGCATTTTATTAGGTGAACATAATAAGGATGTACCAGCAGTTCCGGTACTTCGAGCAGTACCAGGCCCGGCTGGCGGCCCAGATCGGGCCCGCGCGGGCCCAGCAGCTGGTGAACCAGGCCCTGGTGCTCATCACCGTCGGCGGCAACGACTTCGTCAACAACTACTACCTGGTCCCGTTCTCGGCCCGCTCGCGCCAGTACGCACTCCCGGACTACGTCAACTACCTCATCTCCGAGTACAAGAAGCTCCTCCAGCGGCTCTACGACCTCGGGGCCCGCCGCGTCCTGGTGACCGGCACCGGCCCACTGGGCTGCGTCCCCGCCGAGCTGGCCATGAGGGGAGCCGGCAACGGGCAGTGCGCCATCGAGCTGCAGCGGGCCGCGGCTCTGTTCAACCCGCAGCTGACTCAGCTGATCGGCGAGATGAACGCCGAGCTTGGTGAGGGCGTGTTCACTGCGGCGAATACTAGGATGATGACCAACGACTTCATCAGCAATCCCGCGGCTTATGGTAATAAGTTTCTTATAATTGATTTTTTCCCCTAATAAATACTCGTATTTCACGGGAGCTGCAAAGGCTAGTCTAAGAAGAAAAGTCAAACCCGACCGGTATAAATACAGAGCATGAAATGTGGAAATAGGACGTGGCAAATTGGGTACCAATAAAAGAAAAAGAGAAAAGAACATGAAATGAAGTTAAAGTAGAGAGGTAACAACTTCTTGCGGCCAATTATGTCAACCAAGAATATTGAAGAAGGGGAAATGACACCTATTTCTCCCCTCTATCTAAAACGGCATTTATTGACCCAAATGGTCCAGCCAGCTCCCCCCTTATTTTTAGGGCTACCCTACATTTGTTTCATCATCCAGCTTCATTCCTGTTGTATCATGAATTTCACCCCATGTGCCTTGCCCTCGTACTTATTAATTCGGTTGGACAGTAGATTCGGTACGGTTTCACAAACACCGAGTTTCGGACCGATAGAAGGTAATAATTTTATTTGCTTGCATGTGGCAGGGTTTACGGATTCAAAGGTGGCCTGTTGTGGACAGGGGCCTTACAACGGGCTGGGCCTGTGCACGCCGGCATCGAACTTGTGTCCCAATCGAGATGTGAACGTCTTCTGGGATGCCTTCCATCCCTCGGAAAGGGCAAACAGCTTCATCGTCCAACAAATCTTGAACGGCTCTCCCGACGTTATCTCTCCGATGAATCTCAGTACCATTTTGGCCATGGACAACAACAGGTCTTAATATATAATGGGTTGACGACTTTCTAGTTTTTCTTTTTCGTTTATATCTAAGTTAGCTTCCAGCATGTGTCGTGGTGGAGCAACTATGGGCTATATAACTATGAGGGGGAATAAAAGTTTGCAGCACCTCCATTTTGGATGTCTATCTGGGCTGGCTTTTTTTCTTGGGGGACAATTCCCTGTCGTGAAAAAGATCAGGCTTCAAATTGTAATTTGCTTCGTTTTTAGTTGTTTGGTGATTTGATTTTGGTTGTAATTTGCTTAATCTCTCTTGATCTTGATGTACTGATTACTACTTCTTCCATTATAAGACAACGTAATATTCCACCACGAAACACATGGCTGAGTATACAGATCAGACTCTCGCTCTTTTGGTGACACGTACGATTTTGATTGAACAGATAAGGAATTCACTATAAGAAAGTCTAACTATACCGACGACGGTTTCCTGCCGGTTGCTGACAACCGAGGTTAAATGATAATTGTCAACGGAAGGCCCAAGTTGTCAAAACGGCCGTTGAGAAATCAATTGAACTTTTTGTTAGTTGCTATGAGGATAACAACGGATCATATCCGGTCCTTAAGTCTTATTGCTTGAAGAGATTTTTAAATTATTTTTATTGGCGGATAGTAAATTAGATAATTAATAAGGAGTTAGTAGTTAATAGGTAGTTGAGAATAAATGAAATATTATGAAAATATAATTAATATTATTCATTAATTATTCTCTTTCTCTCTCTTGATCTTCTTCATCATAACCCTCGTTCTTCACTACAACTAAAAGGAAATTCCAAATTAATTTAATTAAATATTATTATTTAATATTTAATAAAATTTAAACTTAGTATTTTTATTTATTAACATGGAAATTGGAAATTAAAAATATATGCTCTCTCACCTCGTAGCAACTTGTAATGCAGTACTAACGTTTTCCAATGACATTATCTGATGAGCCCGAGTTTGAGACTCAAGATCAGAATTACGCAACTGGAACGTTTGTTTTGTGTTTGTGATGGTTTCGGCACAAAAACAGGGTGATGGATGGATGATTGGCACGAACCTAGCTAGCAACTTCTACACGAGGGAAAGAGGTTGGCTTAGGGTAGATAAATACCACGAGATCGATGGGGAAAGATCGATCTTGAGGTCTGCAAGCCAAGGACGAGAATGCAAGATCAAGCTTAAGCACTCGTGCTCAAGGAACTCCTCAAAGTAGGGTTTATTATTAATCAACTAAAAAACATACCTTCTGCAAATCAAAGTGAGGCTATTTATAGCCAAATAATGCCAATTACAATCCTAAAGCAACAATGACACAAATTAGAATTAAACAAGGAAAGAAAGACAACTAAAACTCGGTAACTTGTAACACAAATAGAATTCTTTCTCCAAGCAAATTGTCGAGGAAAACAGTCTCCGCACTAACTTCAAGTCTCCTGAAAATGGTCTTTTGGGTCGCGTCGGGGTCAATCAATTCCTTCCCGAGTTTAGAAAGTTTCAGACTTTCATTACCAACTCCAAGCACCAGCTGATCATGTCCCCAATTCCGTGGATTCGAGCTCAAAGTAACTATCTCAAACTGCCCTTCTGCCTTAGTCAAAATCAAGCAATTTTCGACTGGCAGGGTAGGTTTTTGGACAGCTTGAAACACACCCTTCCCGGCTCCTTTTTGACAACCCAAATATCCCAACATTTAAAGGAACATCTATACTTCAAAACAAGACCTTAACCCTTCATTTCCAATGAGCCAAGTGAGCAGACCACCCATCTAAAGTAAGGGACCGAACACTGTCCCAACACTTAGCCGTTTTTTTCAGCCTTATTCTTGTTATCTTGATCCGATCTTTGACGATCGATTGGCACTTGTAATATGAGGAATTTGAGATCATATCATTATCAACATTTATGAAATGAAGCATTATTATTGTACCTCATCATTATTAACGATTTCAATATACTTATCAATTTTGTACAATTATAATATTAACAATTTTGGATCAATTGTTACCGTTTTATAGTTTCATCATCAATGTTTATGAATAAATTATTAAAGTTATGTAACATGGTCATTAACAGTTTGAATAACAATATCACTGATTTATAACATCTTTACTAACGATTCAAATTTTCACATAACCTTTATAAATATCTAGTCATGGGCTCTTCGAATGATTTTTAATGGCATTATGAATGTTTTAGGATCAATTAATATTGTTTTACATTATCATTCTCAATGATCATAAAAACACGTACAATACTTATTTTCAACATCTTGGACACTTGTGACACAGTGCATCAGTGTGATTCAGTCAAACAAACATTAGTAAAAAAAGTATTAGTTCAAGCAAACCAACATTCACGCCTCAAAATCAAACTTTTAAAGGCTAATTCCACTAGAAAGCCCAAACTATCCAAAAAAGTATCATTTGTTTCCTATACTATTCAATATGACAAATCTGACACAAACTATACGCATTTCGTGACATTTATGTCACAGACTATTCAATATATATGATAAATCTAGCACAAACCACATAAAAGCTTACTGTATTTTCTGTGATCTACTGATGGTCAATAACGGTCAACATTAACGGAAAAATAGCTCGTGTCAGATTTGTCATATTGAATAGTTTAGCACAAAGATGACACATTTTGAATAGTTTGGGCTTCTTGGTAGAATTAGCCCAACTTTTAATAACAATACAATAAACCATTGATAACGAAAAGTATTTCATTGAAAATAAACACAAAATATCAATATAATAATGTTTGAATTCAACATTATAAAATGACATCAAACTTTTAATAATGATATTAAAAACCATTAATAACAAATTAGCAAGTCACTGATAATGAAATAGATTTTTGCTGATAATAAAAAGGAAAAATACACTTGTATAGCCAAAAATTTCACGTTTGTGCCAATAATAGCCAGAATTTTGAAAGTTTCATGACAAATATAGCCATTTCTGTTACAAACTTTAACGGTGTTAGAGGCTCCATCAGTTAGGTTAACGTTAGAGTTACTAGGATGCCAAATCATCACACACGTCAACGACAAATCATCATATCATTGCCACGTCATTTAATTTATAGTTATAAAATTAATTAGTTTTGAAAAAAAACATAAAATACCACTTATTCCAACGTGGAAAAAGGGAAAATAAATAAAATAAATAAATAAATTTAATAAATTTAAAGCTCTTCTCTAATCTCTCCAGATCCCCCGCCTTTCCTTCCTTTTCTTTTTCTTCTTCTTCATACATCTCCGATTAAGCCTAAAAGAAATAGAACTATTAACTTTGCCATGTTCCTTCTTGAACAAAGGTCATTCTTAACTATGAACAAAGGGAGCTCGATTTCGAAACATGGCAGCCGCCGCCCGCCGGTACCTTCTTCCCTCGTTCTTCTTTTCTTTCTCTTCGACATTGAAATACCTGCAGCAATTCACTAGTGAAAAGAGAGCAGAACCCTAATCCCTTAACATTTTACACATCTTTGTCGTCAATCGCCATTTAGATCAATAAGCTTGGAGCATATCCAGCTTCGCCCGGAATCGAGCTGCTAGTAGACCCATTCTTCCCCCTTGTTTCGATTGGGGACACGAGCTGGAGAACCCCAACGAGGAAGTCTATTCTTTAGCTTTTCTTCCTCTTTTTGTCGCCTGTAAATCTAGATAATAAATAAAAGCCGAATGATGAAAACTGTTGCTCCATTTCAAATTTCCTGCAACGAGAGTGATTATAGGAAGGACATTTTGGTCTTCACAATTGCTTATTTTCTTATTTATTTATTCATAAAAAAGGCATGCACTGAGATTTGAACCTTGGTCTCTTTAAAGGCAAGCAAGGATCATAACCAATCACACTATGTATATTTGTTGTATCTATTTAAATTCAAACATACACGAGCCTAAATTATGAAAATCATATGACTTTTTTAACGATTAGTTGGCCACTGAATCTCCCGTAAGTACTTATTTGGTGTTTTAATACTTTGATTATTTTAGTTGTAGTTTAATACTTAATTTAAATTTCTATCTATTTTATAAATATACAATAACCCTAAAATTGCAGCCCAAATATCACTGGTTCGAATATTGCATATCGAATTGCAATATTAAACATGTAGAAGCAATATCGACTTCTTAAATTAATATTATTTTTCAGAATTACTATGGAGAAATTATATCTTTGTGCAAACTATATGAGACTGGTTCTTTTAATGTTTTAGTCGGGATAACCGCTACATTTTAAACTTCTTCATAATCTGGCATGATTGGATCCAATGATCATTATACAAGATTGTGTTTAATAGGGTGGCTCATTTCACCACTTTTTGGCTTTTTAATGAATTTGTAGGACAATGACAGGTCTACATCTACACTCATCACAATCTACACATCATATAAATGTGAAATGTGAAATGAGAAAAGAGGGATTCCATTTCAAATTTGATGCGTACAGAGCAATTTTTTAGAGGTAAATTTAGAAGATGCCAGTGCGGTCGGTCTGTTGAGCACGAAAGTAAAAATATGTTTTCATTTAAACGGGCCCAAACTGTTATTTGGCCCACTAATCGTGCACCCATCGCCAATGCAGTCAAATTCGGGATTTTGATCGTAAAATCGTAGGATTTTAGGATTTTACTTAGGGATTCCGATCTTGATTTTACTATAAAATCGGTGGACCTTAAAATCGTTTAAAATCGGGACTAAAATCGTAAAATAGTACCGAAATCGGGATTTTGATCGTAAGAGAACAAAATAGGTGGTTTGAGCCAATTTAAAATAAGTATAACTGTTTCAGCGGAAAGGACAATGGAATCTTCTCAGATATTTTTCTATTAGAAAAATATTCAAAAATAATAAAAATAACCAAATTAGGGTTCGGTTAATCTCTTTCCCTTCACCCCATTTAACTTATTGGTAAAACACCTGTCCTAATATTGGAAGTATGTAAGAACTAACATCATTATTAGCTAATTAATTTATTAATGAATATATTTGTACCAAGCCACTAACATTACTTATTTTATTGGAGTTCAATTATTTTTAGTTTTAAATCATACTTAGTAGACGATGTCGAAATATTACTTTGAGTTAAACAACCTAGACATAACATGAAAATAAGAGCCAAACCCATGAACTATATCCCTTCATCATGAATTATTTTGAGTTACACATTAAATAACAATTAAAATAGTGATTTTGAAACATTAATCTTGAGAATTATCTTATGGAAAAAAAAATCTTCTGAATTATCATTTTAAATGCTATGTGTCTTTGTGATATTAATAATATACCTTATTAATATTCTTATATGCTATGTTCTATATGGTACTTAAAATCCTACGATTTTACGATTCGATTATACGATTTTGATTTTACCCCAGTTTTCGATTT